GCTGGGGCATCTATTGAATATGCAATTGTCCACTTAAAGGTTAGTCCTTTTTATCACGTATGATATCATTTAATTCTGCAGTCGGGCAGATAACACTTACTTTCGTTGTTTAATTATATAAAATCGATAATACTTGATCTCGATATATATACAAAATCAAATACATGACATGTTCTATTTATATAATCTTTTATCGTACAATCATAATTAAGTTAAAAGAAATCCTAATACTTTAAATATTTGAATAATAATGCTTCAATTAATAATACCATCATTCATATCAAAAAACAACAACCCAATAATCCCACCTGTGGAGTCTGGGGGTGGAGTCTGGGGGAGGGTAATGTGTACGCAGACTTTACCCTTACCCTAAGGTAGAGAGGTTGTTTTCGATTGACCATCGGCATCTCTCCCTCCAAAAACTCCACACCTTGCTTTTGGGATGACTCGAACTCACAATCTCGTGAGGAAGTGCGGAAGGTGCACACCACTAAAGCAACTCACTCTTGTTAATTTATATCAAAAAAGAAAAATGAATATCAAATCACAAGCCATAAAAATAAATTTTAAATTCATATTTCTTTGATATCGAGTACTTGATTGGCTTTTATTTAGGAAAGCTATTTTAATGTTTACTGACACAGATAAACTTAAGTATTTTATCCACGTGCTGGATAGAAATAAAAAATATATTACATTACATTTGTTCATAACTTCATGCTTCCATAATTAGAGATTTCTTTCCACACTTATTTTAACTTTAAAACTTTTTAAATTGCCTGCATTTTTCTTTTTCTTCCTATCTATTTCTAGTTGTAAATAAAAATTAAGCTTGCATTATAGGTGGAGAATATTTTGGTGATGGGACACAGCTGCTGTGGAGGTATAAAAGGACTCATGTCTATCCCTGATGATGGGTCCATAGACAGGTTGGTTCTTCCTTAGAAGAATTGTCCTAAATAGTCGCTCTGGTTAAATTAAAAATAATTAGCGATTATATAATATATATATATATAATCGTATATAACCAATATATAATTTATATATACCTATAAAGAAAAGTAAATAATGAATTATCCTGACTATTTGTGTAAATTCATTTCTCTTTTTTGATTCCTGATAATAATTGAGAATCAAACTGGACTTATTAACATATGCCACGTCTTAAACTTTTATTATGTTGGTTGCAGTGATTTCATCGAAGAATGGGTCAAAATCTGTTCGATATCAAAGGCAAAGGTAAAGAGAGAACATGGCGACAAGGATTTTACTGAACAATGTACAATATTGGAGAAGGTAATTAAAGTAGTATACTAATTCAACTAGCTATGCTATTTTTTAGTTCAATAATTGAAACTTTACAACTTCAGATACTTAAGAAAAGATATATATATTAAGTTAAATATTTGTGTGACATTGAGCAGGAGGCAGTAAATGAATCACTAGCCAACTTACTGACATATCCATTTGTGAGGGAAGCTGTGATGAACAAAAGCCTTGCTCTGAAAGGTGGACACTACGATTTTGTGAATGGTTCTTTTGAGCTCTGGGATATTGATGAGTTCAACATTAGCCATTCTGGTTCACTCTAATTCTTGCAAAACGGACACTTTTCATGGAACCTACTGTCCACTACTGTTTCAAGTTTCTCTTTCGTTTGTATTTCGATGTAATTGTATTATGGAACCACGTTTGTCCCCGACCCTCCTTAGACCAATTTGTTGTTGTTGTTGTTTGTCATCGAAATAAAATTTTCTTGGCTCTTTGAGTCTTTTGGGCTTATTCTAAGATTTTTCTTGGACTTATATTCATTTCACAATTTCTGTTTGAGATTTTTTTCGTATATATACAAAATTAGGATCGGTTTAACTAGATTTTCCTATTTTTAAAAGTAACTAAAGTTTATTACAAAATATATATAAATTCGTTCAGAAATTATAATCTACATACAACTTGAGTATAACTTTTTATTGTACAGAATTTGGTCGAATGCTACAATATACATACAACTTGTATATAATTTTTTCTATAGAATTCAGTGAAAAGCTATAATTTTCATAAACTTATATACAACATAAATATTATTATGTAGTTGTATATATTTTGTATATTATTTGTGCACCTAATATACAAAATATATACAATTTATTTATGTCTTTTTTTCGAGTTTCAATCTAAAATTCCAACCAAAACGAACTCAAATTTTTATCAAAATCCCTTAAAATTAAAATATAAACTCTAAAGAATATTCTCAATCATTTGCAATAACACCCTATGCAGACAAATAATAATTTCTCAAAATCTAATATTCGAATTCAAACTTCGAAGCCATTGGAAAGCATAACTTTGATAAACATTTGGTTCGCAAAGTTTGTTATCGTCGAACTTTACAATACATTGCGTACTTCACAGGCAAGCGGAAGATAATATCCATAACTAAATCTTCATTCAGTTCCATATTCAAGCCCCTTGCCTTGCCTTGAATGAAGACTTCTATAGCATTGGTATTTATGGACAAATTACTTTAGAGTCTAGACCAAATTGGAAAGGAAATTATTGTAGACCAAATTAGAAATAAAAAATTACTCTGGGCCAAACTGGAAAAGGAAATTTACACCGATAACTTATAGAGGAGAAAGTGAATGGGACATTAAAGAGGTAGTTGTCTGTGATTTTTTATTCAACCGTTCAAATCATTCGTGAAGCTCGGTAAGATTGGAGTCTAATACATTATTTTGTATATAAATAGTAAATTGTATATGTTGAAAGTAATTTAATAATAATCTCTCTAAGGGATGAATAAGTTGATAAAGTAACATAAATAAATAAATATTCCTTTTTTACTTGGACTTGTATGAACTTCATTGTTTACCTTGAAAATGGTAATTACAATTATATTTGATATTGTAGTTCTAAAAATACATGATTTATTTCTATATTAGTTGTTAGGCGATAGATGCTAAATGTAAGTGAAGAAAATAAGAAATGCAAACCAATAGGGTCACAAGGTTGGGCCTCGAGTTGGCTGGAGCAGGGCCTCGAGGTCTAAACGGGGCTAATAGCAACAAAGAATTGATGGTGAATCAACGATAATGGGGGCCTCAAAGATGACTTTTTACGGCCAATAATGAGCAATAAATGAAGAACAATGAATGAACAATGAAAGAATAAGCAATAAATGTGAAGAATAGTTCTGTTACCAAAGAGCAAAGAATGTTGTATTGTATTCAATATGTTGTGTAATAATGTGAATCCCTTACAAAATGATAAAGGTCTCCTTTATATAGGGGAGGGGGAATTCCCACATAGTACATGACTAATAATAACGAGGAAATGCTATTGGTACAGCTGTAAAACGACTTAGTACGGATTTGTACTATTCTTGCAGACCTCGTCAGCTCTAAACATGTATATTGGGGAGCTTTCCCACCTTTCCATGACGATCATCGATTATACTGCCCTGAGATCGACCATAGTGGGCCTTCGAAGTACTCTGCCTAGGCGAGTGCTTCGGGGACGGGCCTTGGACCGAGCTTTGATCCCATCGAGGCCGGACTTGAACTGCCGCAAAAGCCTCAAATAGGTCTTCCCTAATTTTGACTGTATTCTGATAGTCCCTGCGTTTTTTAGAATGAAAAGATAAGAAATGATCTTGACCTCGACTTTATCGAACCTCCTGTGATGACATCATGCTGGCGACGTAGGCGCTCGAAACGACTGAAATATCGCATCGGTTCATTTCTCTAGAAGCATTGAATATACTGCCAGTTCATTTTCCAAAAGCGGTGATTGCGCCGCCGATCCGTTTCCCCAAAAGTATTGATTGCGTCGTTGATAAAGGCATTGATTGCGCTGTCGGTTACGTTACTGTCTCTCTATAAATGGGGGATTGCTTGAGTCAAGACTTCACTCAGTCTTTCTTCAACAGCCTTTAGCCCTACCATTCTCTACATCTTCCTCCAAATTCCTATTTCTATAGTTCAAGCCCGTGACCGTAAGGTCATACGGCAGCGGCTTTGCCAGTTATGCCATGGCTCTTTTCAGAGTTTTTTCCTACTGAGTGGGATTATACTGGGTTGTTGTTATCGTTGGCCCGAAATAATGAGAGAGAGGCCTCAGATTTTTCCGCATCAGAAAACATGTGGACTGTAAACCGCAGCTAATCTCTCTTAACTTCAATCTGGTGTGGCGTTTCACTCTTTTTGCTTTCCATGGAGTGAGACGGTGTTATCTACTGACTTTTGCATCCTGCACAGGTGCAATTTGTCAAGAAGTGGCTTCACAATAGTAGTGCTGACGAGACCTAGACTCGCCAAGTTTTTCACCAGGCCACAATTTTCCCGACTTGTTAAAAGCTTTTGCTCTTTGATAGGCTATAGCCTTTTCCTTATCTATTGCTGCTTCGGAGGGGATTCCTGAAAACAATGGTCTAAAGATCGAAATGGGGTCCCCGGGGAAACGGTTCTCGAAGATGTCGCTCCAGAGGATATACCCTCGAAAGTAGATTAGGCTTTCGACTGTTATTTTTTGCTTCTTTGTTTCTGCGTAAGGACCCCTCGTGGGTTTTGTAAAGCATCTTTTATTAATACATGAATGTCTTCATTTTGCCTTTGATTTGTGTTGAATTCCGTTCTGCCTTTGTTTGTGAAAAATCCAAGTGTATGGCTCTGAAGATTAGTCCAAATACTGGATTCGGAACATAATAATAATAATAAACCCTTAGGTTTTAAATTTAATTAATACGATGCTTCTTGAAGTCCTTTGTTATCCTTCGGACCAAGCTCGAATTGATTTGATGCGAACTTAGGTCACCAGGATTTCTGAACCCGAATTGAGTGAGAGCTGAGCCTCGATTTTTTGAAATAAACCTAGCCCTTTTAGGATTTGTTGGCAGTCATTAAGTGAGAATTTTCTCGAACCCAAGTAATCTTTGGACTCAGCGACCGGGTGACCATTTGTTCGATGATCTGAAAATAAATATAGCCTTTAGGCCCTTACAAATAGTTCCTCGAGTGAGAGTTTGCTTGAACTTGGGTAGAATATAGCCCTGAGGCTCTATAAATAGTCCCCGAGTGAGAACTGGCTCAAACTCGAAGTAAAGATAGCCCTGAGGCTTTATGAATAGTCCTCGAGTGAGAACTGGCTCTAACTCGAAGTAAAGATAGACTCGAGGCTTTATGAATAGTCCCCGAGTGAGAACTGGCTCGAACTCGAAGTAAAGATAGCCCTGAGGCTTTATGAATAATCCCCAAGTTAGAACTGGCTCGAACTCAAAGTAAAGATAGCCCCGAGGCTTTATGAATAATCCCCAAGTGAGAGCTGGCTCGAACTCAAAATAAAGATAGCCCTGAGGCTTTATGAATAATCCCCAAGCGAGAACTAGCTCGAACTCGAAGTAAAGATAGCCCTGGGGCTTTATAATCGAGCGAATGACTACTCGAGCCCAACTCATAGATTGTTCTTAATAATTTATGACAATCCGATTCCCGGTGCTCTTGTCTAACGTCAATGTCGTGATGTAATCGGTTGAAGTGACTGAAGGGTTTCTTTGGTATGATTCTCAAAATCATTAATTGTAGGTAGCCAACGGTCGGCCTTTTTGCTTCCTTAGCACGTTCAAACAGTCTTTATAAATAGACAAAACCCCATAACTTTTGCCGATATTATTCCCTTAGTGCTTCCAAGATTTTATTTAGCCCCTTTCAATTTTCTTAAACTCTCCCTTTTCTCTTCTAATGACATTTTTCATTTTCTCGGATCCTTCCCTTTAGAAATGGCGAAGACCTCTAAAACTGTTCCTCAAAAGGAAAAAGCTCCATTGTCTTCTCGAACGACTAAAGGTAAACTGGTAGTTCTTCCTAGTATCGAAGAGTGTACTCCCGAGCCTTATGATACATCTTCTGATTTCCAGGTTGAAAACCCCTCCTCTATTTTGGGATGATGCAAACCTATGTCTCGATATGTCAGTTTAATAACTGAAATCGAGAAGGTAAAGGCCGACTGCCATTGGGAGAAGGCGGTGCAGGTAGACATTCCTTCACGAGGAGAAGACATAACCAAGCACAAGGCCGGTTTCCTTAGTGTATACACGTATCCTTTCAACTTAGGCTAGATAGAAGCCTCTTTACCACCAATAGATCCAGTGATCCTTTATTTCTGCAATCAATATCAGGGGGCACTTGGACAAATTTACCCATCATTCTGGTGCATTGTTTATATGATTAGGTATTTCTCAAACATGGTTGAGGGGATGCCTTTTACCCTCGACCATTTACTTAGATTGTATAGACCCTGACTTTATCGAGGTGGCCTAATTAATCTGAAACGTCGATACCCGAAGGTCTTTTTTGCTAGCATCGACGAAGACAAGGACCGAGGATGGATGAGCCGCTTCGTCCGAGTCAGGACTCAAGACCTTATCCCTGCTGAGAGAATTCCATTCCCTGAGGAATGGAATATGAATCGTAAGTAAAACATGTTTCGCTTAATCGAATATCTTTTCTTGCCCTCGAATTGAGTTTTTTCGATGATACAGTCGCTGAGTGGTACCCTGGTGCCGTCGAGGATCTCCCTAGCTGGATCCGACGACTCGATTCAATCTACCCGTATGCTAAGCGTGTGTGGTGCGATCTGGATAAGGCCCGTTGGGAGGCCACAAATCATGGTGAGTCTTATCTCTATTCATACTTGAGTTCTTTAGAGAAGATATCTCTTGCTACTATTCTCATCCTTTATGACTATGCAGGAC